TGATAGTATCCCAGGACTGCTATGATAAAATCAGACTGGGCCAGAGGAGAGAGAGGGTGCATAAAACATCACCCATCCATTTCTTGTACTTCTGGAGACCATATGTCCAAAGTCAAGGAGTTGGCATGGCTGTACTCCCCTGCAGGCTTCAAGGAAGGATCCTTTTGGCCTCTTTTAGCTTCTGGAAGCTGCTGGCATCCCTTGGTTTTATGCCCACATCATTCTAGTCTTTACCTGGTCTTCATGAGGACTTCTCTGTGTCTATGTCTCTTCTTCCGTCTCTTTTAAAGATGTCTTTCATTGAATTCAGGGGTCACCCAGAAAAATCCAGAATGATCTTGTCCTGAAATTCTTAATTACATTTGCAAAGTCCTTTTCTCCAAAAAAAAGGGCCATATCCACAGGCCAACTTCTTGGCCTAACAAGGAGCAATAAGTAGGCATGTGATGATTAGGAGCCAGGTATTCATCTTAAAAATCATACAAAAGTCAAGCATGGCTACAATGATGACTCACAGGCAGGACCCCCAATAGCTAGGTAAGCTTTTCTTAATCCATATGCAGATCACATACACAGCCAATGCAATGTGGTGAGTGAGACAAAAACAGACCCTTCATGAATAAAAACAACCTGCTCCATAATTTATAGGATTGTCTCATATGTAATCAGAAGTAAAAATTGGCCCCCAACAGGTCACCAATAAATAAAGTAAAAACACACCATTTAGCATCTGTAAATAGACACATTCCATAATACACAGCACTTTCTTGGGTGGTAGGAGACCAGCCCAGACTCTCTAATCAAGAAGGGACCCTAAGTACAGGTAAGGGCCCAAGCAGATGAGAGAGCCAGGAGAAGTGGTTATAATACCTATGGCTTTTCTTTGTCAGATCCCTTATGGTCCACAAGTGATGCTCCCTGAAAAACAGTGTTCCCATCTAATAACAGTGCCAGCAACTCTGAGGGACTACAGGAACTGAAGTGTAGTACCTCGGTCCAAGGGGCTTTCTTTGGCTCTACTAGAGATGGCATAGCACCCACAGATGCCATGTTTATGGTGACATCCAAATGCAGCTAGTTGTGTTTCTTTTCATAAACTCTGCAGACAGTAGGTACCTGGCAAGATCAATCTAAAACACCATCAGCAACTGGTATACAAGTAAGCCCAGACCATAGTAGAACAATGGATGAAGAGTCCTCAAGGAGTATACAGGAAAGGAATGTGTACATGGATTCTGAGGATGAGGACCTCAAATATGATTATCCTCTACAGGAACAGCTGGCTGTCTAGCTGTCTCTAGCCAGCCTGAAGTGGATAAAGGCACAGTACATGAATCTCCCCAGCCTGGGGTGTATCACCCACATATACCTGACACAAGAGCTTCTCAAAACCACTATGATCATCTCCCTTCCCTCTTTACCTCATCTTTTCTCCTTGGCTGGAAAGGGCCACTTTTCCCAACCCCCTTTAAAGGGGCTAACCCTTCTCAAGAAAGAAAACTCTAGCAAGTAGGCTCTCAGAGGCAGTCCCACACTTGGGCAAATATAAGCCCTATCTCAAAGCCTCAAGGTCCTGACTTCTCCAACTCTGCAAAGCATCAAACAATGTCAGGTAGTTTACAAAGCACCTGACCCAGAACATGTTTTCAATATATGTTGGCAATTAATGTAAGATGATAGTTTCTTATCTATCAGGCACATCCTACTCCACTTTTTAAAATTTTATAAATTTCTATTGTTTCTCCTCTCTGCACACGTGTGTACATGTGCGTGTGTGTATATGTATGTACATTCATCATTTACACATACAGAGAAAGATCAGAGGGCAACTTGTGAGAGTCAGCTTTCTCCCTTCACCATGTGAGTGCTAAAAATCAAGTTCAAGTCATAAAGCTTGGTGGCAAGCACCCTTACCTACTGAGCCATCTTGCTGACCCAGTTTTTTTGTTTGTATACTCTTTTTTTTTTTTTTGAGATTTTTTTTTGCTATATAGCCCAGGGTGGCCTAAAACTCATGGCAACACTTCTGCTAGTCTCTCAAGTATAAAGATTATAGGTAGGAGTCACTATGTCTGACTCCATCCTATTCCATTTGTATGGACAGCGACCTCCCTCCCCACAAAGTAACATGGCTTTGAAATAGTTATGGAGTCAGAGTTGAACTTAGCAACACTAAAGCTCTTAAGGGGTAATTTGCTAACAGTCACATTTTTATAGACACAAAGTAAAAGGAATTAGTAGTACACAGATTCTAATCCCAGTGAATTCTGAATATAGATGGGGTCTGTGGACCCGAAGACCATTCCAATGAGGAATGCTGCTGTCTTTTGAGTGACACAGACCACTTGGGAAGGGAGCTGTGCAGAGAGCTGGGATCCTAACTCATCCCATACTCTGTAGAGAGTTCAACTAGCCAGGAGAGAAGAGAGGGCTCTTATAGAACTTCCAGTCCTAGAAGGCAGCAGCCCAAGAATCAGAGAACCACAGCATGGTGGCCAAAGCAGCCATAGGCTGTGCTTACCAAGAACAAAGCTACCAGTCTAGTACTGCCACTGTGTTACTCATGTTCCAGAGCCGCCTGACCATGCAAAGCTCAACAGAGGCTGGGAGGGCTCCTGGAATTTCTTTCTTTTTTTTTTTTTTTTTAATTTTATTTTTCTTTTTAGTTACATTTTGTTAACTCTGTGTCCCAGCTATATCCCGCTCCCTCATTCCCTCCCCAACCCCGCACTCCCTCCCTGGTCTCCTCCCTGCCCCTTTCCAAGTCCACTGATAGGGGAGGACCTCCTCCCCTTTCATTTGACCCTGTTTTATCAGGTATCTTCAGGGCTGGCTGCAAAGTCCTCCTCTGTGGCCTAACAGACTGCTCCTCCCCTGGGGGGCGGGGGGGTGTCAAACAGCCTGCCCTTGAGATCCTGTTAGAAATAGTCCGTGTTCCCCTTACTTTGGAAAACTACTTGGTTACTGAGCTACCCTGGAATTTCAAGTAGTACACAAGGGAGGCTTTAGAGTCAAGGGCGAGGGAGCAAGGATTGAGTTGCCAGATTCAAGAAGGCTGCATTCAGGTTCTCCAAAGAAATAGAACAAGTGAGAGGTGATTATATATATATATATATATATATATATATATATATATATATATATAT